AGAACGTTGAAAAATTTCCCACTGTGATATGCATTTAGCCCCAAAGAATATAGACTTACATTAGTATAATTGTACTCTTATATTTCATATTTGCCATATCCAAAGTAAATACGAGAAATACTAAATACATTACTGATACTAATACTGTGATACAAAGTACATTGTTATTGTTCAAACTAGGTGAAAGGGATAAGCGTAAACTGAGGCCAGAGGCGTACCATGAATTTGTTTCATTTGTTGATTAGTATCTATACCCTATTTAGCGCATGAAATTTTATTTGTTGAATAAACAAACAAACAAAAAAACGGAAAAAACGGAACGGGAAAACACGACACAGTATCCAGGGAGATGATGATGATGATGATGATGATGATGATGATGATGATGATGATGATGATGATGATAGCTCTAATTCTTTTTTCTCGATCCTTGAATTACCATTATTGAAAAACCTTTTTGGTTTCCAAAGCGAGAAGCAAGCTCTCTTCGAGACACAAGTCGCTAAAAAGTAACTGCGTGGATGGAATTCTCAGGTCTGACAAACGTTTAAATTAAGTGCTTAATGTTCACGTGTTCTTTGCAGCCTGCTCGGTAATTCATGGATCGATTTGCTATTGCGTACACAGGCACACACACGTACACACATACAGGCGTTCATTTTTAACAAAGAAAAATCCTCGTACAGGCGTACGTACGAAACGTGTGAGACACTTTAGTTTCTCGGAAAACGGTAAAAGAGAAAAAAAAGCAGAATAACACTTAAATAGAATCATGTTTTACTAGCGTAAGGGACGCTAAAGCGTCACGTGTGCGCGTTGCTAGAGAAAATATAGCTGGCGGAAGCGACACGGTGAACTTTAACCCTTCGCGGTCCGAATTGCTCTTGGTCTCTCAGTTTGAGGTTCGCGTCGATTGAAACTATTGAACTATTGAATACATTGTTAATTCGTATCCATATGTGGATATTTATTAATTTTGTACTGCATAGATTTTGTTGTAATCATGAACAAAAATTCGAAGTGCTGTTGGTTTCTCAATTTGAGGTTCGAGAATATTTTTCTCGACAAATATTCATTATATTCTGATGAAATATCAATGGTACGTTTTACAACTAACATAAATAAATACCTTGCATAAATTAACACGTTGAACGCCGCACGACTTCATAGGGCAAAATACATAAAATGGAAAAAATACAATATTAAATCATTCGAGTGAATTGGATTATCGTTGCACGTTCGTCAAACTGAATGTCACCGCAATGGGTAGCATTATTTATAATGTAGAAACGTCTGCGAAAAATTTAATATCGAATTCTAAATTGTATCATTTCCATGGGTCAAATCAAATGACTGAAAGGCGCCTCCCGAGTTCAAAGGGTTAATACGACGCTCCATTTATTCATTCAAGAATATTTTTGTCATTGAAATGTTACCTTTAAACGGTACAATTGTGATACAAATATAGAAAAAATTGTTGAAGGTAGAGGTTGCAATAAAATAGATCGAGTCTGACTCGACATGACTGCCAAGGGTTAACGAACGCGTTCAGACGGCGACCTTTCGAATTTCTGTGCAATTCCTCAGAAAATATCCGCATTTCTGTCAGTCCGTCTGCCTTCTACTGTTCACCGTGCCACTTTCGCCGGCTGTACCGAAGGGTTGCATTTCTCTCGAATGAAATCCACCTCGTAGTCTTTAATCTTAGTTGCGCGACGCTTCGTAGGGAATTCCGTAAACGATGAGTTCTCGAAAGTAATAGTATTTTTTTAAACGAACTTTTCCTGACCGTCGTGCACGGTGCATAAAAAGAAACAGAGAGAAGTAGATTATTTATACGAGTATCGAGTGACTAGACTGTCCGAAAAGATAAAACGATTTCTTTCTCTTTTTTTTTTCTCCTTTTTATATGAATACTTTTAAAGTCGCGCATCTAGATAAAATACTTTACTCGTTCAGAGTAATAGAATCTAGGCTACACTTGTACTTGTAGCTTATTATATTCACCGATATCGCATACAGTAGCCTAATATATATATATATTATATATACACATGAATATATACATAAAGGGTGTTTCGTTCATCGTGACCATTTCGAGCGTTTCCTCGTCCGAAGACTCGTAATGTTTTTATAAAAGTACTTTGTTCGTTTGTCAAAGGGCATACACATTGTTCAGGGTCGTACTGCGTTAATTCTCGGGCTCTCAGGGTCATCGATGATACACCCTAAACATGCTACCATAGAACGATCGAAAAGGAACGCGCGATTGATCCGCGCCACGTTCCATTTTACCGTTCGATGCGTTCGAACGAGGCGCACGATGTTACAAATGTCGTTGAAACCGCGCGTTATTATTGTTTTCTTGACTGCCAACCCTTGCGCATTTCGATTGAGATACTTCTCATTAACTGTTAGCGATCGACACGTTGAACGCCGCACGATTTCATAGAGCAAAATGTAACATTAACCCTTTGCTCTCGGAAGTCTCTCAGTAGAAATATTTGGACATTTTCTGATCAGATAAAGACGACATTGTTTGAAACTAATTTAACGAGAATTCACGGATAAATTCAGCGACAAAGCTGTTTCATTCAAACATTTCACATTGCAAAATATAATTTTCATTGAAAATACTGAATATTCAACTTCACAGTTTCGCTGTGTCGAATCAAATGGTGAGAGTCACCTTTCGAGTGCAAAGGGTTAAAATATACCAAGGACGAGTACGCGCTCCATTTTTCTATTTTATCGCGCGCAGAACGGTTTCTCCAACTAAATTCCACAGTTGACTGGTTAATCGAGTGAACCATGGTAACTCGATTCGCTTGGATCACCGTCGACCCAACGGCATTCAACGTGTCGATATTCCTCCGGAGAAAAGCATTTGAAACGTTGATTCTGCGTAACATTCGCGTTCAAACCGACCATAGAGAGTTCTATTCTATTCGATCGTGAACCGAGCATGTTCTTCGTAAGTTGTAAGAAT